GCTTTTATTTTTCTCAGTGGGACTGCCTGAATATTTAAGAGCTCCTTGATACAGGTAAAGATGTAGCAATCTAAGAACACAGTGCTTAGCTTCAGCGCTGTCATCAGGAGGTATGGATAAAGCTGCTGCACAGCTGCTACTCCATGTCACCTTTCATCCTGTCCCACTGGATACTGTGTGTGGTGGGGATGGGTTGATGGTTGGACAAATGATCTTAGTGGTCCTTTCCAACCTTAATTGATTCTATGATATTATTCTGTGATAGTATACTAAGAAGTTGTGCTCAGGCGTTGACCATACAACACTGTTGCAGCTTGGAGAGATTCCCACTGCTGTCAAGTGAAGTTTCCTTTTGCTGTGCCCTGGTTTTAAATTTGGCCCAGAGCATCTAGATCAGCATTTCTGCTCTTATGCCTACCTGTAAGGGTTGTCTGGTGAACCCCACAGCTGTAAGACCTCCTTGGAGCTAATATGGTACTTGGTACAGAGATCTAAGATTGGAACTCTTGCAGAACAAACACGTGACTGATGATATTCCTTCCCTAAGGATCCTCTGTTAGATTCCTCTGAGGATTATCAAAAAACTTCTGGTTTCCTACTGGGGTGAAGACAGAGTGAGCAGATGTGGATGTTCTAGATCAGTACTAGAAACAAAGAATTGGCTAGGTAGGATGAACAGTGGTGGTTTAGTGGCCAAAAAGAGATACTCCATACTCAGTACTTAGTTGTGCTTCTTTAATTTTTAAAACTGTCCTGTCTTTTGAAAACCCAGCTCAATATTTAATTTCAGAATGGCATTTAAAAATTAATGGTGTTGACAGTTTGTTTCCTTTTTGGGGCTAGAGGAAGGGGAAGGGATGACAGAAACCACTCATTACGAGTCATTTTGGTTCTTTCATTTCTGTTTTTCAAGCAATTTCTTGTTCAGAAAAATTAATAGATCTCCAGTGAAATAAATAAGATAAAATTAGGCCTGTCTGTCTAATGCTGCCCAGCTGTTTTGCTGCCATGGAAATGATATAATGAGTTTCATTCATAAATTCAAAAAGAATGTGAGAGCAGGGCCTAAGTTGCTGCTGTTACAGCACAGGCAAACTTGGATGCAACCAAACTACGACTGCATCAAGGCAATCATCACTGAAAGATTAGCTGAGACTTTTCTTTATTATTAAGAAAAAACTGTTTTCAAGTGTTAAAAGGCTCTGAGCATCTTTAAGAAGCAAAGCATGTATCACTTGGAGAAGAAAGCTGTAGAGCGGAAAGTTCAGCTTTAAACCCCTTTTGTCTCAACACAAAAGCACATTCCTAAGAAACAGAAAAAACCCTCTGTTTCTTCTGCAGTAGTGCTTTCTGCCTAATTTGGTGTGTTCTAGGCACAGAAGAGCATGCGTTGCAGGGGGTAAGTACACAGGGCAGTTGCTTTCTTCTGCCTGGAGCAGGGGTGCAGGCATCCTTTAAGGCTTTCAAGGCAGCATAATGGGATAGCATGGGAGGAGGATGGATGTTGGGAAAGAATTCTTCTCCGAGAGAGTGACTGGGCACTGGCACAGGCTGCCCAGGTGGTGGTGGAGTCACTGTCCCTGGAGGTGTCACAGAAATGCGTGGATGTGGTACTTAGGGACATGGGTTAGCAGGCAGTATTGGTGGTAGGTGGATGGTTGGACTAGATGATCCTTGAGGGCTTTTCCAACCTTAATGATTCTATGAGGAGGTGTTAAAATTCAGGACTGCCCTGCAGCCCTTCCAGCAGAGTGCTCTCACCTGCAGCTCCACAGCTCGTGCACTGCTTGCTTGTTATAAAATTGAAAAGAACTATTAGCTAACTACCTGGAAAACTAATTAACCTCTTGTAGCACTAATCCCGGATTTACTGTTAATCTTACTGAAGGAGTCCTTCTGGCAGGGTTTGTCCCAGAGCTTAGCACTGGGAGCAGGGGGAGCTGGAAGCGTTCGGCACCTTTGAAATGGAGACCGCATGCGGGCAGCCCGCATTAGTGGTGGCTGGAGAGTAATCCCCTGGCACATTAGCTCATGGATGTGTGTGTTGGCAGAGATCACGTCTGTGAATCATGCTGAGCCGCTGAGGTCACCACAAAACCCACTTTCTGTAAAATCACACCGGCTTTTTTTAAATCCGTGTTTATTTCCTGCTTTCGGGCACTTTCGTGTGTATCGATCTGATCAATGTGAGTAACTTTTTTGACAAACAGGCTCCTTTAAATGCCTTAAAAGCTTCATTATTAAGATAATGGAACTGAAGTTAAAAACAAATCAAACAATGCACGTGTAAAAGGTTTCCCCCAGACAGCTTGAAAATAAATTGAAAACAAATTCAATTAAAATAACAATCAACCTTTTTGTTCCTTCAGTGGTATGATTTCTCTGAGGCAGGTACGCAACGATAAGAGGTTTCTTTGAAATGCTTGGGATAGCGCACCCATAGGCAGAGCTAGGAGAGATCAAAGCGGTGTTTTTCCTAAAGAACAGCCTGCTACTATTAAGTTACTACTTTAAGGTGTGAAACGTTTATTTTTTTCCTCCTTTTGTGGATGTTTTTTGTGGTTTTTTTTTTTTTTTTTTTTGGGGGGGGCGGGGGTTTTTTTTGTTTGTTTTGTTTTGTTTTGTTTTGTTTTTTGGCTTTGGTTTCTTGGTTTATTTATTTATTTTGGTCCCAGATCCTTTTGCATCTGTTTCTGCTCTTTCCTCTTGCCTTTTACCTTTGTAAACTAGATCCTAAAATCTCGACCCAAAGGAAATGTCTATTAAAATATATTTTGGACAGTATTGCTTTCTCCCTGGTCTCTGTAATCAATAGTTTTCTCTGGTGCTGGGGCACTGAAACACGTTTTCAGGTCCTTCCATGGTCCCCTTGAGAATATTTTGTTGCTCTAAGTACAATTACAGGTGGGTGGAGTATTAGCTTCTCCATTATTTGGCATCGTGCTTGTGGCCCCCCGCATCTGCAGCAAAGGTAAAAGTAATGAAGGCTACTCCTAATGGGCTGTTTGCAAATGATTGTGCTGTATTGGCTCACAGTGATAAAGACATCCAGTTACTTACTGATTGCTTTCTGTGTGCTACAAAGCACCTCAACCTTGCAGCGCTCTGAAAAAGGCGTATTTTCTGTTTCAGCCAAGATCTTGTAGTGCAGGAACCATCCCCGTGTTATCCATTGATTAGGGGCCTCTCAGGACTGCCTGTGCACGGGCTCTTGTGAAATAGGAGCCTCTCAGGCTAGCGATGCTCTGGATAGATTACAGCCCTATCTACAGACAGCATGTGGTGGTGCTTGCAAAAAGACTTGCTGCTTTGTTCAGAGTTCTTGCTGCACATTTTCTCAATGGCTGCTCTTCACTGCTAAAGCACCTTTTATTCCCTGAGGAAGCTGATGAGCTTTCTGTTGTGAAGATCCACTGAAATAAGATATGAACTTCTTCCCCCCGTCATCTACTGTGTGGTTGAATGTGATGTTCCTGGACCGTTAGTTGGAATTGTTTCGGATTGCTGCTCGATAACACTTGAGTGTTTGGCTATGTCTTGCTTGGTTTGAAAGGATGGTGTCACACAAGTGTGTTACTGGTCAAAGGAAGAGTTTGTCTTGTTCTGAATGTGAAGTGTATCCTTGTTATTCTCAGCATTGCTGCTTCCACACTCACAGACTGTCTTTTGAGTCATCAGAATTGATTTTCATGCCCCACTAATTACTGCCATGCCTGTTCCTTGGAAACCATGGGTAGCAAAGGCGTTCATGGGCGTTGAACTAGTACAGTTTATTCTGAGATGAGTTAATATCTTACTTGAATCATATTTGATCTTAAATAGCTGGAGAGATCTTTGAAGGTTTCTTGCTGCTTTAGGAAGTGATTAGCTTACGGTTGCCTTTCTGCAGTTCTTCTGTTTGCTTTTCTCTTCATTACATAGTTCAGACAAACTGCAAATCAGCTGGCATCATCTGCTGTTATACAGGCCCTGTGTGTTACTGGTTTCATTAAGGACTCCCAGTAACACGGTGTTTTTAAGATAAGTTTATGAAGATGTTTCCTCTCTGTCAGCTCTTGTCAGTAGATCTGCCAGAATATTAACAAGAAATTGGACCAGTTATAGTTTTAGAGATATGCTTGAATACATCGAGGAAGAGCCAGAATAATACACTGGCAGGGAAAAAAAAAACCAAACAAACAACAACGTTGTATTCTTCTGCAAACGCAGCCACATCTGCCACATAGTCCAAGCTGGGAGTATGTGGTTGCCAGAGCAAGTTCTGCGAATGGGGAGGTCTGGGGAATTAAATTGATGGTGTTGGACAAGAATACAGTGGGGATATCATGTGAGCTAAATGGGTGGTCTTGATACATTTCACTGCAGCAAATCAAACAGAAATGCAGTTCTTGGATTTATTTATCTTTTAAACAAGCATGATTTTTAGTACGACTTTATTTACAGGGTTTTTTGGGACACTGTGCTACTTTCACCATTTACCAGGCCTTTCTTTTTTTAAGCATTTGGATTGTAAGTTTATATGGCATTGAAATGAAGCTACAGGTTTTCAGCACATATGATTAGGAGAGAAACTGAAGCAAGCCAGCTCTTAACAAGTTCTTCTTCCTGGATAACTCAAATCTTTGGCCAAATTTGAAAGCTGAACTTGAATCTGAATTTTACAAATAACCTTCACCTTTTCAAGTGGCTGAACCAATGTTTCAGGCCGTGCAAGCACTGGCTCTGAATGTTACAGCTCGACCCCATCTATGGCAATGTAAAGGAATCTGTTTATCTCTCCACAGAGTGCAGTCATTCCTCAGTGAAATGGCTGGAAGCCCTTCTTAGCAGCATAAAGTACAATTTTAGGTAGGAAAGCAAATGATTCTGCAGCCTACTCTGAAAGTAATTAACAGAAGCAGGGTGTAAACACTGGCTTCTGTGCTCTCTGAAGTAAACAAAATAAGAATTTATGCTACTGACCTTGTTAAGTAACTAACATTTTCCCTTCTCTGCAATAGCTTTTGCTTTCTCCCTCAGTTCAAAAGCCCCCTGAGCCCAGGGCTGCGTGCTACACTGAAACGTTCAATCCTGCATTTGAATAAGCTGAATCAAGCCAGCCATACTGCTAAACATATGGTAAGTAATAGCATCATTAACAATAGCATAGTGCACGTTTGACAGCCGAAGGGATTTGGCTGCGGTTTGCTGCGGGAGTGGCAGCAGAGGAGCAGAGCTGGTGCCCCTGCCAGGATGCCAGCCTCCCTCCGCCCCTGCTCTGACCTTCTGGAAATCTGAAAGGCTGCCCGTCTTCCTGCCTCCTCTTCAGGCTCTTATCTTCTGCTGGCAGCTCCAGGGCTGGGTAGCGCCAGTTGTGTTTCACCGTTAAAAGCTGCGATTCGTTCTCCTTGGGGTGAGCTCCTGGTGGAGAGGAGAGACCCGAAGCCAGGAGATCAGCAGACCAGAGGGACACGTTTCAGTTTTGAATTTGTTCTGAGGAAAGCACACCACTCTGTTTCTATTCTCCCTGGCCTATCCCAAAGGCACAAGGGCTGTGGTTGCTGCCCAGTGCTGGGGACAGGCACCATGTCCTGCCCATCCATGTGCTCCTAGTCCTTAGGGTGCCTTGGCCCCAAGTGCATCATTCTTCAGACCACCAGTATGGGGTCACAGCTGACTGACTTCTTGCTGCTCCTGTTGCAGTCACGAACACCTTGTAACTCGTTCCCCTGCTGCCCTTCTTTCCTTGCAGTCTCGATCTTTGCTTCCCCTCCAGGCTGTCCTTCCCCCATTCTCCTTATCAGATGTGAAATCCATCAACCTGCTGTGGATGAAACTTCTCCCATGCTGATAGCCAGTTTTGTACTTTTTTTTTTTTTTTTTTTTTTTTTTTTGTACTCAGTATTCTTTTTGACTCTATGAATCCTGGGTGCATAGAGTTCACTTAATCACTTTTGGGTTTGAAAGCATCCGTGAGCATTAAGGTTAAGGAACCAAGTCCCACCGTTCAGATATTGTACTCAGCCTCTGCTAGTCAGTGGGTTAAAAAAAACATCTCCATAAATGATTTTTTTTCTTTATTTTCAGCATGGAGACTTCCTACATAAATGAACGTTGCCCTGAAGCACTTGTAGTCCAGTTGTTACTGCTTTGTGCTGATAGTGAAAGACCCCAAAGAGAATGGAGTATAAGGTAATGATATCCTAAAATGAAAACAAACCCAGGAAGTAAGTTTCTGTATTTCTTACTGGCTGAGCTCGTAGAAATGCAGGAATAAAACAGAAGATCAGAAACAGGGAATGAAATGCAAGTGCTTCTTTTTTTTGTTTAATTTGAATCATTGAGTATGCTCTGAAAAAACACTTGAGGCAATGACTATTTTTCTTAAGTAGGAAATTTTAAAGATGTTATTCTGATGCAAAGCCATGTAATGTTGCTAGAGAAAGACACCACTTCAGTGATCTCACCTGTGCTTTTTTTAAAGGGATGTGTCTGGGGGGCAGAGGTGCTCCTGGCCTGTTTTGCAAAGATCAGAAGCTAATAAGCTGTACGGTTTTGGCTGTGCCTTTGGTTTTTTTTTTTTTTTTTCTATGTAGCTGTCTGAGAAGCTGGAAGGAGAGAGCAATGGACGAGAGTCATTAGTAAGAAAACTGTTTAGTGCTGTGAGCTGAAAATAAGGAAAAGATTTATCTGCAAACAGGGAAAGGTGTTTTAACCAAAAGGGATGGCTGGAAAATGTGTTGTTAGACGAGGGGCTGCGATTTGTACCTGCAGTGTAGGCTGTACATGTGGAGCAGCAGCAGAGGTGTGTGCATTTGCATGGAGCCTTGCATAGGAGTTGGGGATGACAGCGTGCTATGGACATTTGGGTACTTCTATTTACGAGGCCATGGTTTGTGTCCCAGTGCGTGCTAGAAGGACAGCATGTGTTCAGCCAGCGTGCATTTGCCTGACTTTACAGATTTAATGCTGTAACGTCAGCCATCAGTCTGCCTCTGATGTATGGCTCCCGGTGAATATTCCAGCCCTGTCCGTCGTGCGGGAGCCCAGCAGATGGAGCAGTGTTCCTGTGCATGAGGAGGTGTGGGGCCGCATCCGGAGCTGCGCTGTGCAGTCGAGCCGATCTGCCCCAGTGCATCTATGAAGCACGGAATAAAAGGCTCACTGTAAGAAATATATGTGAGATTGCCACTTTCTGCATGCGTGGTGTTTTGTGATATATGTGCAAGATTAGTGGAATGGTTTATGTAGAAATATATCAGCTTTTCTAAACTTTGTATGCTCTACTGTAGATTGTTTCTATCTGAGCCCTGATTTACAGCTAAAATTCAGACAAGGGCACGTGAAAGTAATCCTTCTGATCACATTGCTATTTTATGATAACGATATGCTTTATTATTTTTAATAAACCAGTGATAGCTGCTGTTGCCGTGTTCCCACAGCAGCAGCCATGAACAGTGGCACAAACAAGAACAGAAAATCCTTCTCCATCTCTTTTTCTTTTTTTCTCCTTAATAAATAATTGAAGGAGAAAACAAGAAAAATATGGTGTAGGATCTAAACAATAAACAAAAACCAGGGTCAGAGCACAGGGCACATGCTTTCTTCTCCTTTAAACCCGACTACTCATTTTTTTTTTCCTTGCTGTGACAGAGAAATGTACTCAACTCTTTTTGTACTGAATTGTATCTCAGAAAAACATTTTTATATATGGAGGGCTGAGTGGTGTAACATTTTTAATGGCACATTTTCATCTGCTTTGCAGTGATGGAACTGAGCTCTGCTGCTGTGCAAGCACAGCCCGGCCAGGTTATGTGCTCTGTCTGCCTTTAACCACCTGCCCTGAATCTCAGCTGGTGCACTCAGGTAAGTCTAGAATAAAGGGGGTCAGTGCCTGGAACCTTAAAGCTAATGAGAGTTAAGCCACTTCATAGGCTTTCTCATCTCTTTCTTAATTTCAATGGAGCGACAACACCATTATCCTCCGCCTACAGACGTTGTGCTGGTGTCCATGCATCTTCCACCATACGTCCCTTGGGCATTTAGTCTCTCCCTGAGGCCACACTGCTGTGATATCCCTCCATAGCATCTTGCAGTCCGTCAGTCTGTCTCTGTGGCCAGGGCACCCAGTGTTCAATGATAACGCAGCATTTCAAACGCTGTAAAGTATTCAACTCTAAAGCAAACCTAACAGGAATGTAAATAGCTTTCTCTGAATATGGGTATTTTGCATCACTGAGGAATGTCTTTTTGGCAAGCTTCCCTCTGTTTCAAGAGGTCTAAATTTGGCTACTGTTCAGCCATCCCACCTAGTTACATGAGATAAGCAATAGGAATGAACTGGGGGTTGCTGTGTTAACCACCCTGCCTGTATTCTATTCACTGTGTGTCTGTATTTTCTGAGTTGTGCTTGAAGCAGGAACAGTAGCCTCTATCTCATTGTTTTAGCTCCTTTTAAAAAAAACTAATGGGAATGGCTAAAAAGTGCTAGCTAACAAATAGATTTAAACTTCAGCTTGACCTCCTTAGCCAAGCAAAACAAAAACTGAGAAGGGATTAATTTGCTTCCTATGAGAGCACATCAGTGAGGAAGAGCTGAGGATAATGATAGCAAGACAACAAAGGGGGATAGATTTGTCATGAATTAATTTAGGATGCTGAAAGCTTCCTTATGTCTGGTCAGGAGAGTTCTGGGACATCACCTTGGTGGAAGCAGTCGAGCAAAACAACACAGCTGTCTTTTCAGCAGAGCATCCTCAGGGCATGAGAGAGATTAGGATGAGTCCTGTGGGGCCTGGACACTGCCCAGGGAGCTCTTCACAGCCCTTGCTTACTCCTGCATTAAGGCCATTTAATGCTCTAGTTAGAATAACTCCAAGGTACAGAAGTATGCTTGCTTAAAACTGATTTCTGTGTCTTGCTATGTGCAGTTGTAGTACTCAAAATATTTTTTACCAAGGGCTCTGGTTTACGTTGGGTACAGAGAAAGAACTTAAATCATGGCGTGCTGAGGATTATGTGTGTATTTTCTGTGAGGAGTGATCCAGTTTTAGTATTGGTTCTTTCTAAGAGAATCTCTCTTGGATGTTTAACCTTGGGCCATGTATGGAAGCCATCATGCATTGTTCTGTGTTCTACACTGGGGTTTGGTGCTGACATGGAAGTGGCACTTCTTGCTGATCCCTCGCTGCTAGCAGGTACTGCTGTGATCCCCTGGGGCAGATCATTGCTGCCCACAGAGCCATGGTGGCACTTTCCAGGTAGGAGGGCTGCTGTAAGCCAGGCACTGCAGCGATTCAGCACGCACCACAGCAATGTATTCCAGCTTTGTACTGCCAGGACAGAGGTCCAATCTATCTGATCCATCTGTTGTCAAATTAATGTCCAAGCTGGCTTTTGGATTCAGGTCTTTCACAGGGAACAGTGTGAGTGACAGCTAGGGGAAAGAACAGAGAGATGTGAATGTCCTGTGCTATAACTCTTGAAGACTGAAGTAGTTGGTATTCATGGTTCAGCTCAGCTTTGGCACGGCTCTCTGAAATCATAAGTTACACAGAAGAAGAACCATGTGTGCTCAGATACCCTAGATCTTTTTTTATTGTTATTGTACTAACTCTTCATTTCTAAGTAGCTACGTGCCAGATGCATGACATTTCCCATCTTGCTTACAACAGAATTTTAAATTATGAAAACACTTCTTGCCTGAACTTTGCTGAAAGGACGTTGAAAGCTCCGTGATCATTTTGCGTCTCCCAGAGAGGTAGTCCATAAACTCCCAGCACTTTGCAAATACCACAAGATCATATTTTACTAGATTATGAAGTTTGTGCACTTCACATTAGTAGTACTAATACCTCAGAGGAACAAAAGAACATTTTTAGCATTTCATTTGCATAATGGCTGAAGTGAGAATTTGTTCCTTGTTGAATAGGTACCCTGGGGGTCCTTTGATTTGCTGTAGCACTCTGTGCAGCAGGGAAATAACACAGAAGTTAGTAGCACCGATGGAATTTAGGTACTTTCCGGCTTGTTGATGTCTACTACTCAAACTCCATTAACTTGCCACCTGCAGACTTGGTAGCTTCATGTATTTGTTTATAGCAATTCTGATTAGCCAACCGTTAAACACAGTGAAACCTGTGATTTCAAGTAAGTGTCATCTGAAAAGCAGATTGAAGTTGCACCAGGGAAGGTTTAGGTTGGACATTAGGAACAATTTCTCCTCAAAAAGAGCAGTGATGCACTGGCACAGGCTGCCCAGGAAGGGGGATGGAGTCACCATCCGTGCAGGTGTTCAAGAAAAGGGTAGATGTGGCACTAAGTGACATGGTTTAGTGGGCATGGTGGGGATGGGTTGATGGTTGGACTTGATGAACTTAGTGGTCTTTCTAACCTGAATGATTCTATGATCTCAACTTAAATAAAAATACTTATTTGCTATATCTGAGGATGTGCACACAAAGATTTGTACAAAGGTCGGTGCTTACTGACAGCATAAGGGAAGGCTGCAGACAGCAGCGTGTTTGGGAGAAGGGTGCTGAGAGACCTGGGGCACCCTGCCCTTACCTGGGGTTATTTTACCTGTGTTTGAATGGGCAGGCAGAGCTGGTGCCTGTGCTGTGCATGGCCACACCTAAAGATCGTGAGGCAATGACTCTGGACAGTGAGCAGGACAGAAGTCTTACGGAGGAGATGCAGAGGACTGGGGAACTGGAGGGAGTTTCTGCATCACGCAAGGCGGCACAGCAAGTGAGTGAGCCCTCCAGCCAGAAGCTGTTTAGCACAACAGCTGTCAGTGCAGGATCCCAGTGAGGCTGATGCTGACAGCCCGGCCCTGCCCTCAGCTATCACATACCCTCCAGGCTTATCCATTGTGGCAGAGAGCTCTCCTTGCAAGTGAGAATCTGAAAGCGTTTGCTTGATGCAGTAGAGTGACCACAAGCTATCCTTGTCCTAAAACATGTGATGGCAACTGCTTCTATAGTGGCAACAGTGGACTCAAATTGCTAACCCTCGTGCAAAAAAAAATCCCGTAAACTTACTCAAGAACTTCTTGCTCCAGTCAGGAATGCAGCATCTGACCTATCTGTATATCTACTGAGCAGTCTGTTATTGCTTAGTGTTGTGCTTATTGTTTGATACTTGCAAACCCAAAGAAGGGGGAGAAGATATTGTGGTGACACAAAGGGAAACTAATGAAAATTAAGTAGATGCATTTAAAGAGAATTAGTTAAACTGTGTTTAACGTAAGTGTGAACATCATTCAGAATTAGTGAAGTATTCATTTGCTATGATTTACTTTGAAGGTGGATTAAGGTAAATTGAATTAAGGCCTCTTTAATTTTAAATAGAAACATCTACATAGGAATGCAATTTAACTAATCTGTTCTGAGAGTTAATTTGAATAATATATCCAGGCCTGCAAAAGCAATACGGGGCAGGGTCTCAGTTTGAAGGATCAGATTTGCTGGTAAGTGTTGAAAGATTGTTTGAAAGAGTTCCCCTTCCCCAGCCATGCAGGGCACTCAGACATCATGGAGTATTTACAAGCAGCTCTGCCTGGGCACTGCAGCTTCTGGCACAGCTTTCAGAGCCGTGGCTCAGTGGCCTTGGTAAGGACTAACATGGCAATGGCTGCTAGTCCATGGGACTGTCACTTAAAATCTCAGTTGGAACTTCAGAAAAGAGGCTTTCTAGAGTTGTTAAAAAAAAAATCAGCAATGTTTTAACGAACAAATTGCAAAGAGGTTATCATTAACCCTTTCTGGTTCCAGATCACAGTGTAAATGCTTGCTTTTTTTGGCCAAAATTTTCTGTGCATTCCAACCCAAGAAGGAGCATGCAGGTGTAGTGTCTGTACTGCTGCAGATTGATATATTCTTCCGTTCCAGCCTCCCCACCCCCCAAAGACTACACTTGTCTTAATTTCCTCTCAATTACACTCAGGCATTAACTAATACTGACTAACTACAGCCCAAAATAATTATTGCTATCTGTTCCCTTTGTAAATATAACTTCAGCACTGAGCTAGAAGAATAATGGCATATTTACAGAAGGCAGCTAATTAAATTGAGCTTCAATTGCTTTCAGTTTGCCAGAAGGAGCCATTTTCACAGCAAAAAATGTGTGCAAGCCTGCATGCTTACCAGGAACAACTTGGTATAACATAATTCAGAGTTCCCAAGACAAAAATTCAGTTCAAGACAAATTTACACTGGCAATAAAAATCTCATTAAGGAAGATATGAAGATCTCTCTACTACACCACGACAGTTAAAAGAGGTTATCATTTTTTTCAGTTTATTTAAGGAACAGTATATATTTCATTGTTCCAGAGCAGCTGTAATTGCAAGTGTCTTTCAAATGCTGCTTGCAGTAATGCATTTGTCTTCTGTCTGTAACTTCAGAACCAGCCTCTTGATGGTCTTCATTAGGAAGAACTCCAGCAGAAGATGCTGGAGTTTCCAAGCTCTTCAGTGTTCAGTTTTTCCTAGTTTTTCCAGCCTTAGCTCCTGCACTTTGAAAATTCTCTCTTGCCCCCACGATTCAACCAACTGCAAAAGATTTCCTGTGATCACAATTTGTCTCCAAATGTTTACACCCTCTTTTGTTCCTTTGAGATGAAACCGTTCACTATAATTACAGAGCAGCAGTCCTTGACAAATCAAAGTTTGAAGGAACTCTTGTCAGAGCCCTTACCAGTCTCCAGAGCCCTTTCTGTTTTGGGAAAAAAAAAACAACAAACAAACCAAAAATAAGGGGATTGTTTCAGCTGTTTTTTGTCCCACAGTTCAAACAAAGCCTGGTTCAGAAATTATTTACAGTCTTCTCCATTGCAGTAGTTCACCGAGCTGGATTGAAAGCTGA